ACATCACATCCACTCCCCCATGCAATGAAACCAAAAATGAACCACTCCTGTCTCCATTATAAATTTTATGACTATTACGACGCACAATCACATATACATGTACTTATTATCGTTGTTCACAGATGTTTCATTTTTTCATGTAATTTAATTTCAATCAATTATTTTTCTATGTAAAGGAGCGATGGTTTGTTTTGTGTCACCTTACTTAATACGACTGTAAATACTAATAATATAAAATCAACTATCTGGCAATATAAAAACTTCAATGGTTTTGTCATTTAGAAAATAAGTGTGAGAACTAGAGTTACCTTAAGGTCACTGCTAACCGTTCTCTTGGGGTTATGGCCTCTCTAAAATTCGTGTTCTTCTTCTCTATGCATGGCTCTATTGCTAATAATAATAGCTCACAAAATTTGGCATAGCTCATGCGAAAGCAGATAAAAAACTTTTTATCGTCGTCAGTTAGGTCGTGAAATATCGTGTGGAACTCTCCGAATTCGTTTCTTTTCTTGTTAATATCGTGCACCCATATTCGCTTTCACTGATCCTCTTGTAGCATCATAGCTGCACAAATCGTTTCTTCTTCCGAAGACGAGTCGGTCATTGCAATATTCTGTACAACATGGAGCACAAGACTGCACGAAAGCGGACTTGGATCAACTTGGAGGGGTAAACGTAGTGGGTAACAACTTTGGTGGGGGGAATGCTTTCGGTCCTGTCTCTGATTCTACGCGCCTGCAGTGGGCGCACTCGCTGCAGACATACTACAACGGCACTGCACTGTTCTGCTAACCATACTGCTCTAGTGGGCGAGGAGCTTAACCCGTAAGCTGAGGAGGGGGTTGTTATGTTGGTTGGTCATGGCCTGTGTGGCTTTCTGGATCTGGCGTCATATCCCGGTGGGGGTTTTTAAGAGAACAGATGAGAGGCTGCCAAGACTTGCTGAGACAACCCCACCCCCCTCTCTGTTCATATTTTCTGGATGCAGTTCAATCTCAATTGCCTCCNCTCTGCTGATACGGTTGAATATGGTCCCGACATAGGGAAGGAAGGCGACTGAGCCCGGTTTGTCTTCAGGCCGGCTGATGTTGGGCCGACGGTTGAGAACTCTGTGGATCTGCCGGTTGTTGTATCCGTTCTTCTTGAATACATCCTTCAGGAGCACCAACTCCGCATGTAGGCTGTCTTGATCACACAGTGCTCCAGCCCTGTGCACCAATGTGGAAAGTGCAACTTGCTTGTTTGAAGGGTGGTGGTGGGACGCAGCGTTAAGGTACAGGTTAGTATGGGTGGATTTGTGGTACACACTGTGGCCCAGGGAATCGTCGGGTCTCCTGTAAATATTTATATCCAGGTAGGGGAGGTGGCCTTCAGTTTCAGTTTCCATTGTGAAGTGGATGCACTGCTGGATACTATTTAGGTGGTTCAGGAACTCCTGGAGCTTGTCGGGACCGTGTGGCTAGATGACAAAGGTGTCGTCCACGTAGCGAAACCAGCAGCGGGGCTTGTGTGGGGCCAAGTCAAGTGCCCTCTCCTCGAAGTCCTCCATATAGAGGTTAGAGATGACCAGAGAGAGTGGCGAGCCCATCGCCACACCATCGGTTTGTTCATAGAACTGGCCATTGAAGTTGAAGTATGAGGTGTTCAGGACATGGCGGAAGAGTCTGGAGATGTTTTCTCCGAAATGTCGTCCTAGCAGATCCATCATATCTTTTATAGGCACCCTGGTGAAGAGTGACACTACACTCCCAGCTCCCTCCCCCCCTCACACGCTACTGTTTTCACTTGTATACTGGCCCTTCCCCACTTCCTTCTCTGTTCTCACATAGCTGTGTATATTTCCAACACCAGTCTGCTTTTACTGGTTCTCACGGTCTCTTCGCTTGCAGATTTCTTATATTTTTTCTTCTACCCTGAAGATGCAGGCGATACGTTCCTCTGAAACGTCGGTTAACACCACATATACATGGTGCCAAATCCCAAAAGACTGCTTTCTTCGTAGTCACCGCCGTGAAAGCCTCAAATCTTACAAGAAATATCAACTTCATAGAATGAAATTGACAGAATTTTGTCCAGTCTGCAACTTTTTGCCAGCTCATACATTTCAACATTGTTCTCTTTTTTGATTCTGGCTCCCCACAACGTTAGTTTTTCCATAAAAAGCGTTAGTTTTTTCAGTGCAGGTAAGAATATTTTCATTCTCATTCACCTCCATCTTTAGTGCAAATTAAATGTTCACGATGTCTCTTCAATTTAAAATAACATTAAAATCACACTAGTTGCTACATGTTTATTCTCAGGCAAACACATTTTAGTGTGAACAATGATAATGCAGCAGTAGCATGGAAATACATTGAGATCTAGTGCAGTGCGACGGTTTCAGAAAGTGAACAGTTGCCTGAAGATGACCAAGTAAATCCAAAACATGTAGCAGTTGGCGTGGTTTTTAATATTATTTTAAATTAAAGAAAGAT